CTCAAATCCCTCACAACAACTTCCTAGGATAGTGAGAACCCAGTCAACACTTCATGATTGATCCCATATAAGTGACTTAAAATATCAGATTGATTCCCAAAGTGGAAAGGAAGCAAAGCAGARAGGATACAGAGATAGCAATGGGAGTGGTGCTTAGACATGGCAAAGATCTATGGGAAAGAACTGATGAAGAAAATCATAGTTCACAAGGCCTTGGGCTGTGTAAGAAAGACACCACACATCTTAAGAATTCTGGAGCATTTTTCTTAATRTCAACTCTTTCCCTGAYAATAACCTCTTTCCTGGATCCTTAYACGACTTCAAATCTTTAATATCACAATGATAGTTACAAAAAAAAAAAAGAGCTGTTTTGTCTTTCCCTTACCTGTGTAGTTTCAGATTTTTTTATAGAGTTGAGCTAAAAAAAAATCACATTTGGAGAATGCCACCTGCCATTCTGTATTCTAAAATGAACTTTTCCAAACTGAAGTTTCAAAATGATTCACCTGTTAATTGATCAGTGGCATGCCTTGTTTTTAAATACAGAATTTTCTTTATATGAGATATTGCAGCATAACATTCATGAGCATGGTTGGGGGGAGGACCCTTGGCCATATTGCCTTGTCTATGTTTTAGTTTCTTCACTGGTAAATGGGATAATACTGCTGACTTCAGAGGACCATGATAAAGGAAASTGATGTGGTCTATAAAAGCTTTCAGAGAGGAAAGTGATGACATAGCAGAAATAGTGCTCCAAGGAAGGCAGCTGGATCTACAAGCCCTTAAGTTAGCCCCGCATAGGCAATGACAGTACATATGCTAATGATTATTCAGATTTGTGATACAACTATGCTTTGTATTTACATACTACTCTTCCTTTTCTAAATGCTTTGATTTAATGGTAAATTTAGTCCTCAAATTATTTCTTGCAATAAACAAAACATTTCACTACAATTTATCAGTGAAGAAATTTTGGTCAAGTGGTGGTACTGACACCAAGGTCTGCTCACAAGCAGCCAACGCTTCCCTGGCTTTTTGGATCCAGGTCAGCCCCAGTCCCTTAGCTGTTTCCATAATGCTACCCTACTCTCTCAAGTCTGATATTGATAGACTTCAAAAACCTTGAAAAGTGCTGGCATGTTTCATAAACCTAAAACCACCTTCCCCTCCCTTGTCTTCTGAGCCTTTATTCATGGGGTTTATGTTTCGTCAAACAAAAAGAATTAGGTGATAATAGTCTTCAATGTTGCTATGCTCTCCAAAGAGTTCAAACATACTATTTGTGGTCAATCCACAGTATCACCTCCCATTCTCTCAAGAGTGAAGGCATAGAAGTAGAGTTTCAGTACCGTGTTAGACCGCTGTTCACTGCTGTGACCAAAATACCTGATACAAATAATTCAGAGGAAGAAAGGTTTATTTGGGCTCGAGGTTTCAGTCCATGTTTGGCTGGCTCCAATGCTTTGGGCCTGAGATAAAGCAGAACCACATGGCAGAGAGGTGCAATGAAGGAAAGCTCTCAGCTTGTGGCAGCCATGAAGGAGAGAGAGAGAAAGAGAGAGAGAGAGAGAGAGAGAGAGAGAGAGAGAGAGAGAGAGAGAGAGAGAGAGAGGGAGGAAGATGAAAGGAGCAAGATACAGTCCCCAAAGGCGCCCCCACCCAGTTACCTACTTCCCTCCACCATGCCCCACTGCCTACAGTTACCACCCAGTGGTTCATTCARATTATTAATCCAGCAAATGGGTTGAACCATTGGTGAGGTTTCAGGCCTCAGGATCCAGCCAAAGCCCCAACACTGCATAATGCTGCAGTGTCTCTAACACATGCACTTCTGAGGAACATTCCAGATCCAGACCATAATACCCACCTCACCTGTGTACCAACAGCATGGAATAAAAACTCATTTATACATGTTGATGAAACACACACATATTCATATGTACATATGTCTTAACTTTATGACATCATATGTAATACATATTTGTATATAAAAATTAAAATTTATACTATATAATAATGGAGTTTTAAGCTTTATTTGTGTATATATCTATTATATGTGTATATATATAATCATCATTAAAATGAGGCTTTCTCATCTATGAATGGAGATAATAATAATAACTACTTCGTAAATTATTGGAGAAATAAATGAATTAATATGCATAAAATACTTTGAGAAAAAAATATTTTTTCCATAAAGTGGCATATCATGTTCCTTAGGAGACACTCATGATGTGAGTAATGAGTGTATATTATAATACACAGAAATCATAGACCCCTGAAGAAGTAAAAGCAACCTGAAATTCAGAACCTACCCAACAAGTATTTCATAGCATAAGACCTCATTTCTGCCCTCACTGCCTGGRCTATACATAAGCACTTATTGTTTATTTACTGAAATTGATCCATTCTCAATTATGACTGTTTAATTCAATGATTTTTCCAGAAATAATGGCCTTGGGAAAGATTTAACTGTGTTTACCTTTGTTCTGAGCTCTAGCACAATCCTTCAGAAGAACTTGCATGCCCTCAGCCCACAATTCTAAAGTCATTCTTGGCTCTCCAGGGCATCACTGTCTTAGCATGGACAGGACTGATGGGCAGGGCAGGACCAGCTGACCTCCTCTCAGCCACAAGCCCCCAGAATAAGAACAACCACCCAGGGCAGCTCATTTCACTTCTYCTAGAAAGAATGGGATCTTGAAGGGCTTCTTTCTGAGTTCTGATTCTTTCCTTACTTATTTGATAACAAATTCTTAAGTTAAACCCACAGGTGTTCGCAGACTTGGTATGTTCAGAATAGACTTTTGAACAATGTTCTCTCAGCCATTTTCTCAGGTGTGTTCTCAGGACAGTTGGGCTGCTAGATACTGATATGTGTTACTTTTTATTTTTTATTTATTTTTTAGTTGTAGTTGGACACAATATMTTTATTTTATTTGTTTACTTTTATGTGGTGCTGAGGATTGAACCCAGGGCCTCAAATGTGCTAGACAAGCACTCTACCACTGAGCCACAATCCCAGCCCCATTGTGTTACTTTTTAAAAATACAAAGATGTGAACACACACACACACACACACACACACACACACATATCAGGGTTCCTTGATTAAAAAAAATGGGAATAACTGGGCTAAGCAAAGCTTATTAGATTTTTCATTGTGGAAATTCTCAGAGATCTGATGTATTACTATGACTGCAGGAGGGAGCATGGTGGGCCTCATCTCTCACATGTATTTATCTATAGAATTTGCATCTCACAACATGTCCTTCYGTAATAGTTTCTATGGAACACACTTTGGGAAATTGCTTTCGAATATGTTGTACCACACAGGTTACATCTTTTGCCTGTATCCCTTTTCTCAATTCTGAACAGACCCGTTTCTTCTGCAATKCATTGTCAGCAAATTCATTAATTTGCATTTCTACAGCTAAGGAAATCCATCTACTATATCAAATACTTTTTTCTGTTCCTGAAATTAACCTTTCTGAATTTTTGGCTAATTGTTTCGGAATCACCTGAAGCAATGATTTCTTGGCCTGACAAAGAATTCATTGTTTCAACTCATAATCAAAGAGCAAATTAAAATATCCCAGGAACAAAATTCTACATAAATAGAATCAGTTTGCCCATACACCTTTCTCCAACCTGATGACATGAAGTTGAACCATGTCATTGTACCATGAACTCTGGTGAGCAGATGCCATTTATTAGGTACTTGGAGAATTTCCAGCAATCACCTTCAATAGTCTGTACATTCTCTTATAACAAAACTATGCTAGCAGATAATAATAAAAGTAAAAGCACTAAACCCTTATTAATCAAGAACAAGCAAAGCTCTAAAGTTTGGGTGTTACACTTTTCTTTACAAATGCCAACATATAAGGATATTCAAATTTTCATAACAATCTATTCCAGAAACAAATTTAAACCTGAAGTCTTAAATATAAATATAGCCATCATATATATTTTATATACACATATATACCTATATGTATATATAGATTATATAAAAATATATATCAAATGTATAAATTTGATTGGAAGAAAAAATAATGTAATCATTAAGACTTTTACAACTTTAGTATATCAAACTCTATAATCCAAGCCTGCAGCAAATTGCAAGAAACTTGAATACAGAACTACATATGGATCTATTGTTTATATCGATTCCTGTTTCTCTCTGAATATTTAAAAAGAAAAATAAAATGCTATGCTGAAAGAGAAAAACTAATCCCATAAAACCATTTGATAAAGTTGGTCTCAGCATTACAACACGATGAAAAGCTGCTATATTAAGATATTAAAATAACCAAAATTTCAAAATTTTTGCTAAGAAAGATCATTGACAATACATCCCATGAGCCACTCTGGTATTTTTGACTACAAATTACAAAGTTGGAATCTTCTTTACATTCGACTTACTTCCAAGTGTTCAACTTACTTCCCAGGCCCCAAATCAAGATCCAGCTTCAGGTTTCTACCGTAAAAACCTGAATATTGCCTGAAGAATCTCCCTTAGGCTCATCAGGAATAATCAAATTTCATGTGAGCAATTAAATCACAGACATTCAATTATGTTTTTCAACCCTCTGTTTAGAGATGCTAAAGGCCCTTGGAAAGCATCCTTCCACCAGAGCCSAAGTTGGCAAGTGAGACCGGTTACCTGCAAAAGCCAGACAAAGAGGTGGACCCTTGCAGTCCCAGTAGGCACATTGCAAAGTGGCACGCGGTGTACCCCATCCCTATTGTGCGGCACAAATTCTTTGTAACACTGGGAGACACCGCAGAACAAAAATACTATTAGAAATGCTTCAAAAGGAACATTTTTTGGCGGCGATAGAGACTTTTGACATTATTTATTAGGTTCAAAAATGCTTCACAAAAGCCTAACAATGGTTCTGTGGAAACCAGTGCATCTGAGGCCCTTTCTGTTGTTCCGGGCAGGCATTGATTTGAAGATGGGCAGCGGTCGCGGAACAATTCCCTCGCAGCGGTCAGCGTAAGTGAGCATTCACCACCGGCCTCGGGAAAGCCTGTGAACAAGCCGTATGGAAAGGCCGGGGCGGGCGGGGGGTGCCGCGGTGCAGACCTTTATTAACCTCTTGGAGTGGAAATGGGTGGAAGCGCCCGCGGGCCCAGGAAGGGGCTCCTCTGCCAGATTGCCCGAGAGGGAGGACCGGGAGGCGTCCGCCCGGGACACGAGGATGCTTGGGGAGCATCTCCGCTACCATGGCAACCGCGCCTCTGCCGACTGCATTTCCGGGAGCCCCTGGGAGCCCTTTGGGGGAATCTGGGTGTGCCCTGAAGTCTACTGTCACCGCCGCCCTCTCCTCCATCCTGGGTTCCGAGGGACTCCGCCCCGCGCTCGGCGGGGCCGAGCGGCTCCTGGTCCTGCACAGGCCGATGGCCGTGGAAGGTCTCCCCGGGGGACCTGGAAGGCAAAGGAGGGCAGGAGTGGAGGGACCGCAGCGCGCCAGCCCCGAGGTCCAGCAGAAACTCCTGCTCAGAGGAGGTCTAGGAATGGACGTTTGTGATGCAGACACACGTTTATTTAAGAAAAAACGAAAAGCAAAAGCAAAAAAAAAAAAAATCAAAAATCAAAAATGCTGTCTATTCTTTCCTGTTTGCAAGCGTCTACCCTGCTCCAAAATAATTTTTACACATTTATCAGAAAATCTTTCATTTCAAGGTAAATTTTTCAAAACTTCTAAGAAGTGTGTGTTGGGCGGGGGGCCGAGAGATTGGTGACTAAAATAGAGCATCCACTTCTAAATTTGGGAAAAGTTGAAGAATGGGAAAGGATTATGTTGTAGTAGTTAGATATCGTACAAAACATAAAAGGGTGTGTGGCCCATGTAGGCTGAAGAATGATGATTTTTTAAAGATCCAAAAGGAAGTTACTTCGTGGATTTTATTAGAAATTATAAACCAGCTGAAAATTAAACAGTGGATTAACCTGAAGCTATTACTCAACACACATGTACATACTAACAGTAATAATTGCAACTTTGATTTTGTTCCAAAGGAATATATATATATACATAGACACATATGCATACATATGTATATAATTCCACCTGCATTTTTATGTATGTGTGAACATAATTTTGAAGTTTTTGAGAAATCCTGCCTTTGACTTCCACAAAAAATAAAGCCTAATTCTTTAGTAATGTTTCGATAATTCACATGCTTTAAATCACGTATAGTAAGTTTTTAAAGGACTTTGAATGCTATGTAGATGTCTAGAATATTTGAACAACCCACAGGATTATTTGCAAATTCAAAAAACATGTTAAAATTTGAAATGCACAATATCTTCCTAACCATGGATGTCAAACAGCCAGCATATTCCTAAGTAATTCAATGTAGTTCATTATACATTGTTCTATGCCTGATATGCATTGGGTACACTCAATATACCCAGTCAAATATGGTGGTGAGGAGGGGAGGAATTAGTGAATCTGATTTGTCTAAAGTGAGAAATATTTCCTGAAAATACAATGGAATGACATTCCAACATCTCCAGAGGTACAAACACTTTCAAACTCATTGTAAAAAGTTAGTAACTATTTGAATATCCAGTCTTGGTAGATGGTCCTTTCACTGTATCAATATTCAGGGCAAGAAGAATCCACAAGAGAATACAGATATGGCTCTGGAATTTGGAGCAAGAGAACATGACTGAATATGCTGTCTTCTGTCTTGAGTCAAGGATAGAATTTCCTTCCCTCAAAGCACTTCGTTAAAGACGCATCTTGCAATAAACTGTCTTAGAAGGAGAGTGTAGTTTAATGAATAAATAAGGATCTTCGATCAGAGTCAATCCTGGCATATCACCTGGCTTAAGCACCTCAGTCCTTACACAAAACATAGAGATCACGTTACCTAATTCACTTTTGGTCTATATGATCCTCCTATATTTGTCCATTCACTTATTAATTTATTAATATTTGAATGCCTGATATGTGCCTGGCAGTAATATCGTCACATTAGTGATTCAGAAGGAAATAAGGCAGACAAGATCCCTGAAGAGGGAAAAGGACTCATAAATAAGTAAATAAACAAATTTGTAAGTGTTCACTGGTAATAAAACCTGTGAAGAAAAACAAAGCAAGACAAGATTAGAAAATACCTAAGTAGCTAATATCTATCTCACTAAAGATTTTTTTWAAAAAAAATGAAAAACAAGACTACTTAGGTAATAATTGAGGGAAGAACATGATAAAATGTTAAGCATTAAGTACATGGTAAGAACTCCATACCCAAATAACATTGCTATTCTATTTAGAACCTTAATATAGGGATACTCAGACCCACAGTTGGAGTGAAAGGCTTAAATTCTATTTTATCCCTGAAATTACAGAACTCTATAGGTCTCAAATTCTGTATCATAATGAAAGACCTAAGCAATTTCATTCTGCTTGGGATCTTATTTTGCTCTGAAACTTAACCTCTGACTTACTGTAATCCTAAAGTCAAGAAAAAACCTACAGAAAAGCTCTGTGGAAACAGTTCAGTTCTCGGAAAAGCCACAGATAGGCCAAGATAACCACATATCTGAAATTCCAGATGGCTTCCGCCTAGGTGTGGTGACCAATATTTAAACTAGAAGCCCTGCAGTTTGGCACGTACGCCCCTTGCGACATCCTCAAGGTTTATACCAATCAGTTTAAATGAATCCCTCTCTTGTAGTGACCAATCCCTCCTACCCAACTTGTTCCCGCCAGTGAATGTGCTAATCATGTTTTAGAATTGTTATTTGATTTTCCTGCGGTGTGTGATGATTTGCTAGGAGATGCTATGATGTATGTGGAGGTCCCTGCCTTCTCCAAAGAATGTATAAAACTGCTGCAAAACCTGGGCTCCGGGCCTCTTAGCGTCACCTGTTGCTGTGTGTGTGCGGAGGACCGAACTAGCTCGCAATAAACACCTCTTTGCTGCTTACATCGATCTTGGGACTCTGGTGGTCTTTTGGGGGTCCCGAATTCGAGCATAACAATAACAAGAGAAAATAACAGTTCCTATCTTAGAGGAGGATTATATAGACCAAAAATGAAAATGTACAGTTGTATTTTAGTATTTTGCCTTCTACATAGTAAGACTCAAAAAAATGCTCATCAACTAGCATCTTTCTTCTTTGTATTAAGTCAAAATTTGTCCCTCTCTTCTTTGAGTCAAATACAACCAACTGTGCAAATATTTGAAGTGAAATCTACCTCAAATTTTCCTTTAGAACAAAACAGACTACACAATATCGGCCTAATCCTTCGACTTGAAAGTTCCTAGATATTTGGAGAGAGGCATAGTTTACTTTCTTTTTGTCTCTCCTCAGGTATCAGAAACGCTACCATCATCACCACCACCATTTAATCCCTACTATGTTCAGGGAACTTCATTTATATCAATCCTCTAATTACAACAGCTTTTCAAAGTAGTAATTGTCATTAGTTTACAGATAAAAAAAAAAGAAAGAAAAAAAAGTAGCTAAAGAACACAGTTGGGACTTTGTGATGGTTACAGAACTGAAATGGGAGACCCCTGAGACTGGGCCCAAGATCTTCCTGTCTCAAAGCCCTTTCCTTCTTGTCCATTTCCTTACTTTTAATGATTTCTCTTACTATTACATATTATTTCAAGGCACTTTATTATCATACCCATTACCTTACACTATGAATTCATGGCTTCCTTAACTGTAAAACAGGAATAATAACATTATTATCCACCTAAGTGTTCTATGAGGATTTCATAAAATAATGTAAAATGTTCAGCAGAGAGCCTAATCTATGATTAGAACTAAAAAAATTGGGCTGGGATGATGATAATAACTGTCATTATTATCTGGTACAACACCTGAACCATCAAATTACCTGTCATCAGTTCAATCATGTACTCTCCTCCAATACAATAATTGACAAAAAGTAGACTCTCAATGCCGGGCACGGTGGCACACACCTGTAATGCCAGCGGCTCAGGAGGCTGAGGCAGGAGGATCGCAAGTTCAAAGCTAGTCTCAGCAAAAGTGAGATGTTAAGCAACTCAGTGAGACCCTGTCTCTAAATAAAATATAAATAGGGCTGAGGATGTGGCTCAGTGGTTAAGTGCCCCTGAGTTCAATCCCTGGTACCCTCCCCGAAAAGTAGACTCTAAGGACTTTCTGGTACAGTTCTTATTGTACTTTCTAAGATATGACCTGCCAGTGGTTCAATACATTTTTTTGTTTATATTGAAATCAAAACGTGATAGGTTGCAATAAGAAAAGAAAAGCTAGGAACCAGATGATACTTACGAGAATTTCCCTTGGAATCGCTCGAAGACTGGTTTTGAAGTCTCGTGTGTCTACTAGTAGCCTCCAAGTACACAGGATGTTCTGAGTGTGGTAGACTGGGTTTATCTGCCATTTTTGGTGCGAAAAATGGGATGCTCCAGGTCTGCTTGGAAGTTTTGCTGATTGTCTTTTGAACTTTCTCCCGGAGCGTCAAACTCAGTGAATCCTCATCCCTTTCACCAGATGACGCTGGGGTGGAACAGGCTTCTTGGCGGTTTTCTTCTTCAAAAGAATCTGTGCTCACAGAAGACCTGGGGATGATGGACTGGCAAGTATGAAGCAGTCGTTCACATGTCACTGGACTCTGAGTTCTTTCTGAAAATATTGCAAAAGGTAAATACATTAGTTTGAAAGAATGCACTTCATCATCACTTTCAGAAAGGATGAAATGCGGTCATGTGGATTTTTGTTGGTTTGTTTGTTTGATGCTTCTACCATGAGCAAATAGAAATGACCAAGACAGAGACCAAGGTACTTGCATGGGAGAAAAAGAGGAGGTATGAAGAAGGTGGTAAAGGGTGGAGAATGCTTTTGCTGAATTTGAGCTATATTATAGGCACCACGTTGAGATCCTGCCCGTGCTTATCATCTAGTTCTCAAAAAGCCATAGCTAGCAGAGATAATAATCTCCATTTTACAAGTCAGGGAGCTGATTTGAGGCTTATGAGTTGAATTATGTCTCCCCTAAGAGACCTGTTGAAGTTGTAACCCGCAGTACCTGTGCATATGACCTTGTCTAGGAAGAAGGCCTTTGAAGAAGGAATCAGGCTAAGACAAGTTCATACTGGATTAGAGCTCACCTTTCTTACCCTCATGAGAAAACTCACACACACACACACACACACACACACACACACACACGTGTAAAGACACGGATACACAGGAAGAAGCCAAGCGAAAACAGAGGCGGGGACTAGAGATGTGCTGCCCAAAGCCAAGGAACACTTGGGGTTACCAGATGCTACAAGAAGACTCCTCTCCTGGAAGCTCAGGGGGGGACACACAGCCATACCAACACCTCGTGTTTCAGTCTTCTGGCCTCCAGAACTAAAAGAATGTATTCTCCTGTTTCAGGCCACTCTGCTTGTGATCATTTATTAAAATAACCCAACATAGACTTAGAACAAGTATCTGGTCCAAGGTGACACAAATATTAATTAGCAGATTTGGAACTTGAATTTAGATCCCTCAGCCTCATAGCCCAGTCCTGATTCTCAAGACACTCTGTTGGATGCCCTTCAGAAGACCAAATCCAGGCTTATTGCTTAAAACTGCTCTAGAGTATTGTGAAGAAGCCAGTGACAAACTCTACCTCCCACTTTTAGTTCTTATCCAGCAACCGAGGTGAGTTCCTTCCCCCTGATTACTTCCCTTAAGAAACTGATAGCTCCTGTGGCAACGCAGACCACCTGCGGCTACACTACTCATTCTTTGGTAGAAAATCATCAGGAGTAAGAATTCCCAACAGTCAAAGATACTAACAAACAGAACCGATGCAATGCCAGGTGTCCCTGTCACAGAGGATGGTGTCTGGAAGACGTAGGAAGAAAGAGAGCTTAAAGAGGTAGCCAAGAACCAACACTGGCTAACTGGTTGGTTATGGAGGGAAGAGACAGGCAGAAAGAGGGAAAAAGGGAAGGAGAGTTCTCTGGATTGTACAGATGGGTGGTATAAGGGTGTGTGTGTGTGTGTGTGTGTGTGTGTGTGTGTGAGAGAGAGAGAGAGAGAGAGAGAGAGAGAGAGAGAGAGAGGAGAGAATATAGGCTTAGAAGTTGAAAGCACTGAGGTCTCTTAGGGAGGGAGGAGTGTTGTGAAATTGAGGAGAAGAGATAAGATTTATTTGCCTTTATTATCAAATCGAAATCTTTTTGAGATTGTCTTTTCCATATAAACAAAAAATGAATCCTGGCTGGTCTCTTAAGATAAGTGCAAGTTCTGGAGTTTGGTGAACTAGGTTTGAATCTTGAATTCTACAAATTACAGCTGTCTAGCCCTAAGGGGAAAATGTTCTTAGTTTTRCCCTCCTCATTCATAAAATGGCATAATCATATTTAACTTTTAGGAATATTATAAGGAACATATTAGATAATGTAACAAAGTGTTTATAGAGCAGCTGGGTTGTGGCTCAGTGATAGAGTACTCATCTAGCATGTGCAAGGTCCTGGGTTTGATCCTCAGCACCACACAAAAATTTAAAAAAAAATAAAGGTATTGTGTTCAACTACAACTAAAAAATAAATATTTTTTAAAAATAAAATAAAGTGTTTATAGAGTATACTTGGTATATCGAAAACAATAAAATTTTAAAATTAACATTATTGCATAGTAAAATAGTCTATATGGAAAAATACTTGTTAAATGTAAAGATACAAAATTACACATTTTTTCTTTTTAAAATGAAAAGAATAAAAGCTGGAAGAAAATGAACCAAATAAAAAATTGTTTCTCAGTGGTCTAATTCAAACTTTGAAATTTTATGTAATATTCAAATTTTATGCATTATTCTTACGACTCAGAAGATACTCTTAATTAGACCAAAAGGAGAAGACTTTAGAGCGTTTATGTGGTTTGGCATTCCTACTGTGCACTTATTTCATTACCTAATAGCGACATGAATGAGATTTTCCATGGAGGGAGCAGAATAACAAGGAGAAATTTCCAGATCTGCCTGGTAGGGCGTAGACCAGACCAGTGTGGACAAATGAAGGGCAATTTGCAGGAGGTATTGGGCCTGTGGTTATGTGACCAATTGACCTAGTTTGTTTGTTTGTTTGTTTGTGGATTCAACTGTGTCCCCTAAAGAAATGTTCAAGTCCTAATCACCTGTATCTGTGAATAGGACCTTATTTGGAAATGGGATATTTGCAGATATAATCAATATGAGATCATTATGGTAGTCCTTAATCCAATATGAATGGTATCCCATGAGGAGACCAGAGACCCAGGAGTGAGAAGACCCATAGGAGGAGGGAAACAGAGGGATGTCAAAGCCAAGAAATGTCAAAGATTACCAGAAACCACCAGGAGCTAAGAGAGAGGCAATGAACTGATTTTCCCTCAGAACTTCCAGACGGAACCACTGCTGCTGACACCTAGAGTCTGGACTTCTGGTCTCAAAACTGTAAGAAAATTAATTTTTGTTATTTTAGCCATCCAGTTAGTAGTACTTTGCTACAGGAGCCCTAGAAAACCATTGAACCAGAAGAGCTCCAATTTGCAATTTTGTCCAAGAGCAATTATTCACAACAACAACACTTTTTACCAAAAATAAAAAGTATGCAGATTTGGGGGACTGAAAAGAGAAAATCCCAAGTTGCAATAGGTATAGAATGAGAGGAAGAAGACATTGGCCATATTGAGTTATATTATGGGGGGGGGGAAACTGTGGCAGAGTATACGGCTGGGAACAAGACACACTTTCCCTGTGTTCAAGGTACAAATGACAAAGAGGGTGCTGGTCACACTGGATGCCAGTGCATACTCCTCCTAAAGCACAGTCATGTCTGCAGAGAACACTCAAAACAGCTCCAGAGGCCAGGCAGAGAGCCACAATGAGAGAAGGGCCAAGAAGGATATTCTGGAGCGATGTCACATTAGAAGGGCCCCAATGCCATCCAATTTTGTCCTTTATTGCCATAAGGAAATGTGAGTCTAGTGTAGGTAGATGTTCTGAATTTTCAGGAGAAGCAGAAATCTTTCTATGTATGACAACTGATTTTTAAATGTTGGTGACTGTTCAGTCTTTTCAAATATATAGTGTGACATACACAAAACACAACTGTTCTCCAAATAATCACAGGCCACCAGTTTGTGTCTTTGACCCAAGGTCGGCTGTATCAAAGCCACATCGTTATTTACTTCCTTCTGTAACATCTTCACCTCAGAACATGGTTTTATAAATATTCAGTCTGGACTAGTGAAAGTGCATTTGCAAGCCCCATGTGAAGCAGCTTTTAGAGCTCTAGAAATCTGGTCTACCTCCAACATTTAATTTTAAAGCCCATAATTTGAAAAGGTAGACAAATTTATAAATCTTTCCCAAATGTAGAGAAACTTCAGAGTCCTTCAAAATCCTTCAAAACAGAATAGTAGCACTGGTTCTTGTGATCCCAAAGGAAAAGATTATTAGAACCAATGGTCAACATTATTAGAACCTTGTTCATGTGTTCAAACCCTGGGAAGAGGATGGAAGGCCTGAGGCTCTTTAAATATCTTTATGTTCCAGAAGATATGGGTTCAAAGAGACCTTAAAGGTTATCAGAGGCTGAGCCCCATCACCTTCAACATCCACTTCTGTTATAATATGTCCAGGGGATTAGATCTTCAGAACTCTGTAGCAAAGATTTCACAGCTTGTCCGAAGAGCAAAAAGTAACTTCATATTCGCAATATTTGGTTTTTAATTTACCAGCCAATATAGTGACAAATCTTGAGCCAAAACCCATGGCCCATGACTTAGAATCCAGTCCTTCTTATTAGGTTACACTTCTCCTCAATCTAATTCACCACTGCACGGCCCTGGCTGCACATTAGACAATACCTGACATCCTTTCAAAAACACGGTCACCTGGTCCCACCTCTGACCAACCCAGTTAGATGGCACCCAAGTATTCAAACATTGTAAGCCCTTCAGTGATTAAAGGGTAATCAGGATAGACAGTCCCTGGTCTCAGTCATTCAGCAGGATTTCAGCACTGTTACTCAGGCAAACTATCATGAGCAAGAGTTATAAAGTCAGTAATGTCATTGTTCCCAGATCTCTCTCCACAGATTGTCCTCATTTCAGAATCCAGCAGTGTATTTCTCCTCACAACTTGCATCTTCCTTTATAGTTTATTTGTTTTTATACCATTAATTACAAAAACTCTCTGACTTACTCATTTTACTGAGGAAAAAATCAAGACCCAGACAGAGTAAATGTCTTGTCTATACCACTAGTCAACCTTGGATTCAGACCCAGGACTTAGAATTCTGCAGAAATTTTGTTTTCCTACTATACAATTAATGCTAGTGGTGTTAGAAGGTACCTGTCACTCCCATGAACTGGGCTTGATGAAACACACATGAAGAACAGCTATCAAATATTGGGCATTGGCCAGTCGCCATTGGCCAGTGGGCAGGCCCTGCCCTACTGCCCAAGCCTTAGTCCAAGAGAATGCTGTCAGAATTACTTCTAGTGCACAGAAGCAGAAATGGCATCTTCAAAGGGCTGATACTCTGAGGCAAGACCCAATGTTTCTTAACCACTGAGACACTTATTTCGCTATAGTTGTTATTTGAAAAATCTTCCCAATATTAAAAATGTGCAAGCTCTTTTAATGCAAAAAACCTCTGCCTTTTATTTTGCAGCATGGATCTTCC